TGAACAGTTTAGGGGAGTTGACTCAATAGGTGGCACCAGCCAGAGTACAAATAAAGTTTTTCAATCGATAAAGATCTTCTTACCCAGGATCGAGACCATATAGAAACATTTTGTCTTCAGCAAAGCGACTTAAAAAAAAAAATTGTTTTTAATTCAGGGGAGTTATTCTTAGGGAATTCTCTGAAATTTATATTGGGGTTATGCCATAGAGGTAACGCTAAGACCAGAAGGTCCCGAAGATACGTGCTCAACTTTTTGGCTCAGCTCTGGTACTATCTTCGGTCCCAACACTGATAAAACAGCCAAGATTTTATTAATGTGATTTCCTACATAACTTCGATTAAACGCCCCACACATTAATTTTATAAGCCACACATAAACGTCATGTGTTTAACATATACCAAAGATGTGCAGCTCAAATGAGCGTCATGGGTAGCGGCATATAGCAAAATATTATGTGAGGACACACATAAAAACGATACACCCCTGTTTGTCTGACCGACCTCTAAAAAGATGTATTACAAAATGGAGGCCGAAAGCAAGTTCGCGAACGAGGGGGCGACACATCTAAATCTTAATTCTACGTGGTCAAAAAATCTCACACTAGCGAATAAATCTTCGAAAAATCTTCTTTTATTTCTCGCATCTACTTGCATTGCGCATCATCTTTTTGCAGGAAACCTTTAGAATCGTCATCAATCTTCTTTCTATCTACTCAGCTTGCACACAGCAAAACACAATTTTTCCAGCATCATAGATAGAGTCGTCCACCTCGTTCGCGATAGTTGTGCCAGAAGAATTGGATCTACCCGACGAACTACTGCACGTTTTCAAAGGTAAATATAGTCTAGTCTAGTCTAGTCTAGTCTACACATACACAGCCAGTACTTGAAAGAATCCTGGAAAATGATACATCTATCATTTTTCTTGTCATTATTAATGCCTGCTGCACATCAAGGATGTGAAACAAACAATAAAGCGGCCAGGCCTACTGTGTAGCGTTTAGTTAATTTTTGTGGAAGTGAATGTTTACCATGTCTACTTAATAAGTATAGACAGTGGTTAACATTTAATCCACAGGTAATCAAAGAGCGGGGACATACCGTACCAACCGCTCCGTATGCAGGATTTGAAAATAGGCTATATAAATCGTTGGGAGTGACAGAGCTAAGAAAGTTAATGTACACTCCTTGGTTGTCCGATCTCCTGGGATGGAACACAGGTATTTACCCCTTGTGTTCGAGCGTACAGTCCTCCCTCCGTACAAGCGTGGACGGCACCGCCAACCCACTGCCATCCCTCAATCGATCCAGCCGACCTCAGTCGAAGGACAACAGAGAGCGGTGTGCGGACGTAACCTATACGGAGGGAATGCTGTATTCGCCTAGGTTATAGCGCCCTTGCTCGCTACCATTTTCTTCTAGCGGTTGGGACCTGAGCACTAACTCTTGTCCTAGCCCTATATGGCATATGGTTATAGCGCCATTACTCGCTTTCTGAAAAGAGAAGAAGGGAAGGGAAGGAGAGGAAAAGGACTCCAGGGATGGGATAAGCACGTTTTCAAAGGTAAATATATATGAAAAAAAAAACTGGTTCACAGATCTGCGATAAGCAATGCATTAGGTATAGGGAAAAGGTGACGAAAGAGGGGAGTGACGTACTCCCCTGGGGCCAAACACTGGACCACTAGCGCCAAAAATGGTACACTTATCCTACATTTAAATTTGGAAAACACGTAATTTCGAGCAAATCAAGTAAAATTTGGGGGCGACCCCGGCGTAGTGGTTAGCATCCATACCTCTCACGCCAAAGTCACGAGTTCAAATCTCACCCCCGGACAAGTCACGAATGACTCAAGAGTGTTAAAGTGACTATAATAAAAAAAAAAAAAGTTTCTTTGCCAACAAGTAGGTTGGGCTTTCCGGTAATCGAATCGCTGCTGACCCTTTCCCCTTGCTCGTTCTTCTTTTTCGATGTTGGCTTCATCCGGGGTCATTTCTAGAGTAACATTTGAAATGGATTAATGAAATTGGGTTGTTAGCGGAATGCTTAAATAATAAAACATAAAAAAAGGGTTATCTTCCATTTAATTCCACTTAATAAATTTTGGTATCCATGACAGATACGTATTTCGACTACAATGTGCAGTCTTCATCAGTGTCAGTGTCAAGAATTCAAGTTTCATTTTTATACCTGTTATCTTGTCTTTTTTACCTAGGAGATGAGTACTTAAGGGGGTTAGATTTTGATAAGTTCTTTAGTGGGAATGACACTGATGAAGACATCACATAAATATCGAGGCAGCAAACCGTTAACTACTTTACAAATGAACACCATAGTCAATTATACAATTCTTTGCTTCACCGACAACCATTGTAAGGGAGCATCCAACAATGACGTAGCATATTTTTGATCAATTTTAGACTCCTCCTCCCCCCCTCGTAGCGAATTTGGCTATATCCAATACATGGCCGGTCACAAATTCTGAAACCCCCACCTTCCCCCTCTAATGCTACGTCATTTATGCATGTTCCCTAAGGCGTCTAGCATCAAAGTTGAAGAAGTTAATCTATTACATCTCAAAATCAAACGCATTATTTTATTCTGCAAGCGCTGTAATCTCGATATTTGTGTTGCATTGGCCAGAAATAAAATGGAAGGGCAAAAGTCAAGATGAGGAGAGATGATTGATTTGCATAGCTGTATTTTACTAGCAATAGTTAAATCGTTTTTCAGTCGACATAGAATTCCATACTTCTTGGCAATTTTCTTGATGACATTGTCAATGTGAGAGTTGAACTTAAGTGTGTCATCAATAATCACGCCAAGATATTCAATCTCCCAAACGCGATCAATAGTCTCATCATCAATTACAACAGAGACGTTCTCATTCACTCGACCATAAATTTAGTTTTACTTGTATTCAATTTTAACTGCTTATACTTCAACCATCTACTTAGAGAACGCAAATCTTCATTCAAGTGTAAAACGGCATCATCCAAATCCTTAGCTGCAATGAATAACACAGTATCTGCAAAAAGATTAATGTCGCAAAATCGTAAAACACGTCGCAAGTCATTAATATACATAATAAATAACAGGGGCCCTAATACATTTCCCTGGGGCACTCCAAGGTTGTTCCCCCGGGACTGGAAACAGAATCATTAAAAACAGTCTTTTGAGTTCTGTCAGACAAATAGCTTTCAAACCATTTATATGCAGTACTCGTAATTCCAAAGCGCTTGATTGATCTTAACAATAAGGGCCTAGAAATTGTTTCAAAAGCGCGTTTAAGATCCAAGAAAAACAGCAACAGTCGTATCTTTACACTCCAAGTTATTTTTCCACTTCGCTAATACCAAATTCAACGCGGTTTCACAAGAATGACCTTCCCGATATCCCGATTGTTCTGGTATCAACAAACTATTACTATTTAAATACTCCAACAGCTGGCCTTTAACAACAAGTTCTAAAATTTTCTCTAATGTGTGCAACATGTTGATGGGACGAAACTCTTTGGCTTTAATCGTTCCAGTAACTTTTTGAATAGCGACCACTAAGGATTCCTTCCAAATTTGTGGCACATGTCCAGTTTGTAATGATTCATTAATCACTTCCAGAACCTGGTTCTGGTCTACGATACATCAGACATGGGACAGAGATCGATTTGGATAACGGCGCGAGTTCCACAAGGCTCCATCCTTGGTCCAAGGCTCTTGAACGGGATGTACGTGCTAACGCTGAAGCTGCCCAAAGGAGTCGAGACTGTTGGCTTTGCGGACGACGTCGTTTTGACAGTAACAGGCGAGACGCTGGAAGTGTTGGCGACCGAGGCGATCGACATGATTGGTAACTGGAGAGCATGCCATACCCTAGGCCTGCCTAATGTACGGCTCGTAACGAGCTTAGAAAAAGTCTTCGCATCCGGCCCGCCGGTTGTTCTATTCTCGTTCAACTTTGTCAGACGAAAACTTGAAATCATGTTTGCGGATTTAGGAAACAGTTTCTGAGATCACTACGCATCGATGGTTGTATATCCCATCCAACCACGCTAAGGCCTTCATGTCGTCTGCTGTCCGAAGAAGTCGTCTCCACTCTATTTGATACATGGCCACACATCGCCAGCCTCGTAGTTTTCGAAGGGCCCGTAGGTAGCCTCCACCTTGCCCGTTGCACGTCTCTTTTTTTGTTCCTGGTGGGTCGCTTACGAGAACCATTTTCACTTGGTCGTCGTCCGAAATTCTTACGACTTGCTCAGCCCTCCGTAGCAGCCATGGTAAAAACACTGAACCCTTTTGCACGGGTGGCAGTTTTGCCTACAAACACACCACCAAGAGCATTGAGTTTTACGCTCCGTACCAGTGCTCTATAGAAAACACCAAACGAAGCGAACAAGGCACCGGTACCGGTGCCTTGTTTGCTGCTTTTGGTGTTTTCTATCGAGCACTGGTACGGAGCGTACAACTCAATGCTCTTGGTGGTGTGTAAAAAAGGCAGTACGCAGAGTAGTGTTGCGTTTAGACATGCCTGCTCCGTAGTCGCCCATTTTTTGCAGTGTAAAGACGAAAGATGTTTTTTCAGCAGCTAGTGCAGTGCATGTTGATGATGCTGTAGTTAAAGAAACGGCTCTTCATCCTCAGCATACATATCCTCGCGATGATCGACTGTCAATCAATCACGCGTTGGCGCATCTTCCCCAGTACTACAAAGCGGGTTCCCAGTGGCGGTGCCAAAGCTCTGGTAGGAAGTAGCCGCTCGATGCCCGCTTTTCCATACCTTTGGTCCCGTCCAACAAAGTTCCTGAAGTGCTACGACTTCGAAGTTGCGTGGTTGAAGTTCGTCATATGTAGATTGACCTATCGCACCCCGGGAAACCGAGCGATTTGCAGTTCCATGTTCCGAATTTCCAATCGTAGTCCTTATGTAGAGTTATTAAAGGCAGATAGGCTTGTGAATTTATCTAGCAATAAAATACAAACTTATTAATACAAAATCATTATTCAATCCAGATAAATCAGTTAGTTAATAGGTAACGCTAAAACTAAGCCGTTTCGCTCCAAACTGTATCCAACAATGCTGCTGTCAGTGCGCAAAATTTCCTAAACCTGTTGACATTGTCCGGGCTGACTCCTTTAGCAACGTTGTGGTTTAACTCGAACGGATCTTGAACGACCATAGGTTTCCTGTACGACAGTAGGTCATTTACGGGGTGAGCTAGTTTCATATCAAGTTTATTGTAATATTTTTGCAAATTCTCCATCTCCATCGGGAGTTCACAATCGACTGGATCAAAGTCTTCCTTCTGGGGAGCCCAACCCAGCAACGGACAAACCACACGAGTATCGAAAGAAAATTTCGAACCATAGAAGAAAAAGAACTTCATGATGTGTTTTTCCGCTTCAGTTTCCGGTATTTTCGGAATTTTCAGCTCTTCCAGAGATTTGCTCTCAAAATTGGCTTGCCAATCTGGAAAGTAATATAAACTTCAGAACTTTTTGCACGAAATAAATAGGTTATTAAATTCTTACGACTTATAAACATTGGATCCATGCAACTCTTTTGCAGAATATGAATGCTGGGCAGTAGATTGTGCTTTTGGAAGTAGAATATAGTTAGAAGTACCAAGGTGTAGGTATTCAAACCATCCATATTAAAATTGCGAGACCATTCTTTCGCATAGAGGGCAACATAATAGCCTAGAAAAGAATATCATAAGCAAATATGAAAACCGCGTTAAATTTCTATATAATAAAAATGTTACACTTACACACGGGTTGGAGATCGAAAAGATACTGAATTAGTTTAGTGTTGCAATGTGACAGTCCATGAGTAAACGATATGTCGCAATCAATTTTTTCTTTTGTATTCCAGGCTCGTAGAATGGGCGTTCTCGCAGAGGTAATTGGATCGAGCTTACTCCATTGGTCGGACAGTTTAAGGTGCTCTTCAGTCAAAAGGACGCACCGCTTCAATTTGTCTTTGGAATATTTTTGGGACCCGTTGTAGTTGCCCTCCAAATCGAGATAAATATCCAGATCGCTAGTTTCCTTGCCGAGCCCCGTAATGCGAGAACCGAATGGGTAAGCTTTCGCTTTGGGATAAGAAGTTTTAAACAAGTCTTCCAATGTTTTTACGATATTGTCATGGGCAGGAGAGTTGCTCAGTTCTTTACGGCAGGCATCAACAACCATTAAATGTGTCTGAGGTTTCACATTGATGATAAAGTTCTTCGTCTTCTTCGTCAACTCAACTTTATTGTTGGGGATACTGCCTATGGTTACGTATTCTCCATCCTTCGCTCGATTCGGTGTGTGAATTTTGCGTTTGGGTTCGTCATGTTTCTGTGTTTTTTTCGAAGCAGTTTGAATGGTTTTATTTTTGAGTACAGAATTGTCGCTTGTCGATAGCGCAAGCATTCTTTCTCGTAAAATTTTCGGAACGTTGCCGTTTTCAGTACCCTTTTTAGGATGATGCTCATTTACCTTTTTTGGTTTTTCAACTTCCTTAGGACCATTTTGTTTAGATGAAACCGTTGAATTCGATTGTGCCGAAGTGTCGCTTTTCGATCGCAGTACGCCGAACCTCATACTGCGAACGGTGCTTTTTGTTCTGAAAATTAAGAATAATAGATTATCCTCGATGCTCTTTTCTGGCAACATGAAATATTACTTGGTATTATGCTCGTTTAGTTTTTTCTGGCTGTCAACTTGCTTAGGACGATTTTGTTTAGAGGCAACCGTTGAGGTGGATTGTGAAGACTTGTCTCGTTTTGATCGAACAGAACTACCGGGGGATGTTGTTCTTATCTCGTTACCGTGTTTTTTGTTATTAGTACACAGTGCGATTTCTAAAACCTCTTCAATAAATTCTTTTTTTGATGTACATTCTTTCGTCGTGGCATTGCATTCTTTAAGGTGCTTCAGCAGACTCGGTTTTGATATTTTGACCGCCCGGCCACATTGCTTACAGTTTATACTATGATGAAAGGAGTACCCCTGGAAGATGTTCTCGTCTTTCTTGTCCCATTCTCCGTAAGGCTTGATCGATGTGCTGGTCATAATGGTATCAACTGTGGCGATCAACTGGCTAAGGCAGTCAACCGTCCAGATATCCATTACGGAGTAGACATTTGTGAATGTTTTCAGCTTCTTGTTAAGATCAAAAATCTCCCAGTTGAGCAGGAAAAGCTGAAAAAAATATATTTATTTCATCTATATTTATATTTATAAACATTTACTCGACTTAACTAAAATTTATTTAGCGAAATTCTCAAAGATCAAGACTTGTTAAAGCAAAGTTATGAACACGCTACTAAACTTACCTCATGCTTCGGTGCTTGCATCGTCTTTGTCAGAGGAATAAAATTTTAGAATCAACCAAGCAACGCTACACTTGATCGGAAGTTCATAGAAACAAAAAACTGGAGTCACTTAAAAATATTTTATCGAATGGTATACTAACAGTTGATTATAGTTACATGTAATGTACAACAAAAATAGTTTAATCAGGCACACTTTACAAACACTACATTTCGGTTCGGAAAACACTCCCGGACTGATTTGAGATTTGGGCGTAACTGTTTTGTTAAACAAAGGCTTCAATCACCGATTTCGCGCAAATAAAGCTTGATTTCGCAAACAAACTATACCTACTCCTATAAAAATCACTCCCCTACCTGATTGTGTTGTTAGTTTGCGAGATTGAGCTTTTATTCATGAAAAATCAGTAATTGTTGTTTTTTATTACAAAAACAGTTACGCCTGAATCTCAAATCAGTCCGGGCTCTTCGGCACAGTCAGCAAAGCAGACACACTAATCATAACAGGCACCGGAATCGTCACCGAAATTTATTTTATGCCGAATATTTTGTCACACGGTAAGAAAAACTCCCCAACGGTCAGTTAACTTTTACCTACTTTTGACTAGTTTGTCTCTTTTTCTCCTTCTAATGTTGTCAAAAACAAGCAAAACCACCCACAGAGGTTGTAAAGCATGGGAACCCAACGTTCACGGAAAGACGAAACAACTCAAAATTAAGTCTTTTACACTCATCTTGACAGCTAAGTGCAACCAGACAAAATTGAGTTCTTTGCGAAATATCCAATTTTGAGTATTTTGCAAAGACTTCGTGTTGAGTCAAATGTAACTGTTTCATGAAGAGCGAGTATTGGGTAAAAAGTACTTAAAATCGAGTATTGATTTAGAAAATATAGTTAAAAAATTTGATTGTTAATTTTTTCTCTTCAATGTTAAAATTAAAAGCCATTACAAATCAGTCATAATAGTTCTATTTATTTTTTATAAACACTCATACAACACAACATACAACACTCACTGGCAAATGTGTTGGGAATAAGTGACGCGAATACTACACTAGCAACGTGTGCCCAGCGGTACACGGGAAACTTCCATCATGAGATCCGGACACCATTGCATATCTCCTGGGATCCTGGGAATTGAAAACGTCAATAATTTTTTTAAATTTCCATATGAGAGATATAAACTTACCACATTGTATAGTCCATATTACGATAATCTGATTTTTCCGAACAAAATTAACTAAATTAAAACTGCTTCCACCAAGCGACAAAAAAAAACCAAATGCATATGGCGCACGCGTGATTTTTAATCCAAATCCAAGTGCAATCGCAACACTTGATTTTGGATAAATTCATATTGCGGAAAATTAAACAACTCAAAATTGAGATGAAAAGTCCGCAAAAATAAGAACTTTCTCAAGACTACTGTTTGAATACAAGTAACGAAGACTGAGAGTTATTGTTGTACTTCAAGATTAAGTTTAAACTACTCACCAATGAAAACAAAATTGTATCCAAAACAGTAGTGCTAGAGAAGTACTTATTTTGAAGTACTTTTCATCTCAATTTTGAGTTATTTCGTCTTTCCGTGTTGAGTCACAGAAAAACCGACATGAATTCTTTTTTTTAATTCTGTTACACAGAAAAAAAAAAGTTGTTGAATATTACATCCAAACTGCTGCAACCAGGTCAACCCGAATAGAAATTTACATTAGCCCAACGTTTGATTTTGATGTCTACATCAGCATCGAAATCAAATGTATGCCTGATGTCAAACATTAGAAAACATTATGATTTAGTTGTATTTAAGCAACGTAACATGGTGTATACATCAGAAATTTTGGAACAAAATTTTGCCATTCTAATGTCGGTCTGACGTCAAAAATTTCAATCTATTTACATTAGAACCAAACGTTTTAAGGATTCGGCTTGGGACTGGTACACTTTCCTAAAAAAAACATAATTACATTACATTAAATTAATAAATTCACATTTACTTACCAGAAAAACATTGCATCGCCACCAAAACTCGCGACGGGCACTTTCCCGGGCTAATTCGTAAACAAATCAAACTTTTCCCACTGCGAAAAAAAACTGTACACGGCCAATGAGATCAACGCAAATTTGAGTACAGTGTACTCAATATCGAAAAAAGTGCAGGATGAGTAAATTTGCCGCATGTTTTCCTGTGGAAAACCTCAACAATCTGCCCTAAAATAAGGAAAATTTACGAGAATCCAGAGAATCCAATCTTTGCTTTTCTCATATTCGGAACATGAGGGAAATTAATTCAAAACTGAGTTCCTGCACTTTTTGCGATTTATGAGTGAACTAACCTCAAATTTGGGTCGTTCTCATTCGCCGTGTAGTACTGACTCAGGACAAAACAAACTTTGCATGCGGCGAGAGACCGAGGGACAACAATTTACATCGTGATGAACTTTGATTCTAATGTAACGTTTGGTTCTGTTGTCATTGGATGTATTCTGATGTTTTATGCGTGCAACAAATTACATCGTGATGATGTTTGATTCTAATGTAACGTTAGGTTCTGTTGTCATTGGATGTATTCTGATGTTTTATGCGTGCAACAAATTACATCGTGATGAAGTTTGATTCTAATGTAACGTTAGGTTCTGTTGTCATTGGATGTATTCTGATGTTTTATGCGTGCAACAAATTACATCGTGATGATGTTTGATTCTAATGTAACGTTAGGTTCTGTTGTCATTGGATGTATTCTTATGTCAAATTTTACATCGTCAAGACGTTTGATTCTGATGTAACGTTTGAGGCTAATGTATTTTTATGTACTTGGACGTCACACTGAAGTCTGAATACATTAAGGTTACAGCAATACACGTTAAAATTTAATGTATTGAAGATGTCTGCTGATGTTTCCTACATTACAATTTCTATTCGGGAATCCATCGGTTTTGTAATATCACATTGTACGATGTACATCGATTTTGCGAACAAAATTATATCCATTGATGTAATATTGTATCTGCTTTTTGCTATTAAATCATTATTTCATACATCAGTTTGACTTACATTGATCGATATTATTTTTTTTTTTGCTGTGTATGCGACCATTACTGTGATCTATTGTAGTAAATCCTTTGTTGTCCTTTGTTTAGTGCATGCTGTATTACCAACTGGTGGAAACTAACGATTTAAAATTGGCTCACTACTTGACTAGCCTATTGGTCCCAAGCAAACGATTAACGCATCCCATTCTAGTCGGAATTCTAAGTTCTACACTATGTTTGTTTTGATTCTCTATGCAATATGAAAATTGAATAGAAGTTGAAAATGAGCGAAGGGCCATTAATGCGATAGTATAAAGTCAAACGCACATCTTTTGCCTAACCCGTATCACACTCAGCTAAGTTTTGCTTGTTCGGTAATTTATTACCGAAAATATTCGGTGAACGAAGAGCATTACAGATTTTTCGGTAAGCAGAATTAATTTTACCAATTTTCAGTAAAGTTTGAACGAATTTCCGGTATAATCCGGTTATAAAATTAACGAACTCAGTGAAAAAAATACAGTACAAACTGTAAAATGAGACAAACGCCGAATTCGGCGAAAAACTACCAAACATACCGCAAATTTCAAATCAGTTTACCGAACTCTTGTAATTTCTGACTGTCATATCCTGAGATGCCTTCCCTAATAAAAATAACCATAAACGAACGATAACCCAAATCATTGAACTATTCCACAAATGGTTTGGATGATACCCAGAACACGTCGTTAAGCAAATTAACCATACAATTTTTATTAGGGTTTGTTTATAATTTAATAGTGAAAAGTGCGACCGGCAGACTCAATGGCACAAATGTTAATGTTTGGTGATGGACAAGGTATGGAATCGAATTCTTAACGAGGTTGACGTATTTCACAAGTAAATGATTGCTTAATAAGCTCGATTTTTTTTTCCAGGCCTCAGCGATATTGTGTTTTTCGGTCACGATCAGACTCCAGCTGATGTTTCCGGATTGCATTGTGACATTGAAAAAGTTGTTCGAAGGGACAGAATCAGCGAATGAATGGCATTTCTTATGAAAAAATTCTAAACTTTGTAAGGAGAATCTCGAAATCATTATTGTTCACACAGCAATAGTTGTTAATAAAAATAAACCGAATAGATTATTTAAATAAAAAAGATTGAATATTTTCGTTTTACGAAACAGTTCGGTAAAAAACTACCGAAACGTTCAGTAATGTTGACAGTTCATCAAAAAAAATTGTTCACGGATCGTTCGGTAGTCTTTTCGATTACCGAACGTTCAGCTGTTGAAAATTCGGTAAAAAATTACCGAATACGGTAAAAATTTCTAAGTGTGTACGATGTACGCGTCTACGTAGTTTATAAACAATGTTTAATGAAAGAAACTTTTTGTTTTTTCCTCAATTCTAAATGTTTATTCCGCACTATAGTAACAAAAAAAGCAACCTAGCCATGTTTTAGATGTTTGAGGGTCCGGATTTGGTTTTCCTGTTAAGGAATCGATACAGATACGAGATCCGCTTTTCCATATCTCTCCACTTCGTAGGCCGTGCAACCGGATAGATTGTTTGACTGAGCATTTTCCGCTTTCGAAGCAGTACTTGATATTCATTACCCGAAACTCCTCGCAGCCAGGATGGAACTGAGTACAAAACCCTGGTCGGATGTAACCTATCGTTGCCCAAAATGTCGATGTAGTCATTCTGCCCGAACAGGGCTCGCTTTTCGCACCATGCATTTTTTGGTCTGAAAATGAGACTCACTTAATATTTACTGACACTCTCTCGATTGTTTCAAGAGTCATACCTGTAATCCGGCATTGGTAGTTTCTGGCCATTGTCCAGGTGGGGTAGCATACCACCTTTAAAGATTTTCTCTTTGTAACCATACCGGCGCACCAGTGGACCTCGAGTTATCTTATCAGCATGATAACGGAAACGTACGGACATAATCTGCGGTTGCCATACGGTGTTCAGGGATCTAACTATCAAGCCTCCGACCCAACTCATCGTGGTTTTGGTGGTAAATTTTGCGAGTAAAGCGTAATTTTCAATTTTCTCAGAGCGCACAATAACAGCACTGATGCTGTAACAACATCACACGAATTTTTTTTGACGTTTCTCAACATCAATTAACCTGTTAGGGGAGTTTGTGCAGAAAGTCGACTTTTATTTGGTCCGACAGCTCCAACTGACAACGGCGGCTCAGTAAGAGGAGTAAGATTTTGGTGTTAACTTGCTAACTTTTCTTTAGAGTCGGTGTATAATGAGTCACGCCAAGAGAAAAACAGTCGAACTCGCATCACGGTTTTCGGAAGATTCCCATTATTTTCACTTGGCAACAGAGCACTTCTACAACAACTTCAAATGACTTCTAGCGAGAGAAAAAATATTGCGGCTGTAGTAAATCATTATATAAGTGATTTTGTCAAATTATTTTAACAAAAAATAGTAGAAATTCTCATTACTAATCATTACCGAACGTATCCCAAGACAATTTAACGCTCACTGCGTGTTTATGCTCATTTCTTCGATTATATTTTATATTTTATTGCAATACCTTTCGTGGACCTTTCATAACATCGTAATGTTTATTTACTTTGCACGATAGGTAGCCGGTTTGACAGTTCAATAGGTAGACTTGGCTTCACTCTTGGCGTGACTCATTATACACCGACTCTAACTTTTCTTCACGGCGAATGAGAACGACCCAAATTTGAGTTTAGTTCACTCATAATCGCCAAAAGTGCAGGAAAGCAGCGATGAGTAAAATTTTTCTCATGGCTTCCTGTGGAAAACCTAAAAAATCTACCGGAAAATGAGGAAATTGACGAAAATTTTATTTAGTCTCGGATAGACTGGGTGAATCCAATCTTTACTTTTCTCAAATTCGAGAAATTTTCACTGGAAAAAACCTGGGAAAACATGAAGCAAATTAACTCATCGCTGAGTTCCTGAACTTTTGGCGATTATGAGTGAACTAAACTCAAATTTGGGTCCGTCTCATTCGCCGTGTTCAAAATGGGTCTTTTTCATTATAATGTGCGTACTTTCAAGTTAGGCTGTGTGTTGCTCATCAGAGACGTTGATAGAGACGCGCAAAGAAAATTTCTATCAAAACAGCAGCACGGTTTTTGAGGGATCTTTAATCAATTTCACTGGCGACCAACCATTTCGTTAAATTTCTTTAATTTTCGATATTGTCGTTCAAGTTGGACTCCGGAAAACCCACATGCGACATTCGATTTTACCCTCGTTCTGTACGTTAAACATAACGTCGGACATAGTGCGCTGAATAGCGCATCATTGTGCGAATTCAGCGCACTATGTCCGACGTTAGGGGGCGACCCCGACGTAGTGGTTAACATCCATACCTCTCACGCCAAAGTCACGAGTTCAAATCTCACCCCCGGACAAGTCACGAATGACCCAAGAGTGTTAAAGTGACTATAATAAAAAAAAAAAAAAAAAAAAAAAAAAAAAATGTCCGACGTTATGTTTAACATACAGAACGAGAGTAAATTCAATTGGCGCGTGTGGGATTTTCCGGTTTTCAACTGAAACGATAATATCCCAAGTAACAATTTCCAGTTGAAGAAACGCTTTCGTTTTGATTTTGTTCAGCTGCATGTTGAATAATAATTGCACAATGTGTTCACTACAACTTTTATAAAACCCTTGTTTACACTGGTTTGGAGAACCTATACAACTGCAACACAAAGGTGTTGTCTAACGTACTCAGTAAAACGTTTATCCAAAATCGATTTCTTGTTGAAGAAACGCTTCCATTGTGATTTTATTCAACTGCATGCTGAATAATAACTGTACAATTTGTTTATTACAACTTCTTTAAAACTCTTGTTTACACTGGTTTGGAGAACCTGTTCAACTACAGCATTATATGTATACGCGGTATAGGAGTAGAAGCAACTTTTATACAACGTTTATAGATACATATTTAAACTCAAGCTTTATTATTTTGGAGCTTCAAAGACATTCATATGAAAAATCGATAGCGATCGTCACCATTTTATGAATAAATGTAAAGATACTAAAAGCCTGATCGTGAATTATTTATAATCATCTTTATCAAAATGCTGCTACTAATCGTTACTAGAAGTACTCAGAGGGAGAGATAGGCGGAGAAAACAAAATACAATTCGACAGCAGGGATTTGTTCCTAAATTATCTTGCAACCCTTGCTAGAAGCTAGTATTTCAAATGACTTTTATTTTTTATTCGATTTACGTGCAAAATAATAATTGATTGCATCGCAAAATTTTGCACATTTCTTGTTGCCATGCATTAACCAACGAAGATCAATCAATCAATAGAGTTAGAATATTGTTTTCGGTTCCAAAAACTAGTTGAATTTGAGAAGCACACAAAACATAAAGGAGATTGAATTTCTGTTAGATTGCAATACTCTCAAATTTATTCTAGTAAGAATAAGAAATCCTCGGAAAAACTCTAATAAGAATGTTCGATTGGCTCAGATTTTGACAGTTCATTTGGCTCAAAACATTATCTCCGCCCATCTCTCCCTCTGAGCAGTGATGCAAAATATCATGACACCAGCGGTGCCAGATATACAGATATGTCTGTATTTATACAGATATTTGAAGTTTCGTACAGACCCAATACAGACTACAGGCATTATACAGATATTTGAAACTTAATACAGATTTTGTACAGATTTTTACCAGTTGGTTCCTGAAATTTATCATAAAATAAACAAAATTATTTTCGAAATTTGAACAGCTTCAAGCAATTATGGACTTGAAACCATTGAAAATACTCCACCCGGCTGCCACACACTGGTTGTCATTAGAGCAGGTGGTGAAACGGATGCTAGAAAGACTTCTAGCTCTCAAAAAGTATACTTAAACTATACTAATTCGAATGTGGACTTGATGCCGAGAAGATGAAAGAAATCAAAAGTTAACAAACTAAACCGCTTGTTCCAATCGGAAGCGCCTTAAATATTCCGACTCAATTCTAAGCTAGTTCGTTTGCTCAAGGAAATCCTCGATAATTTCATGAGACCAGACTACATTGCGAAGCTTGAAGACCTGGGTTCATTAATTTTGCAACCCAGGAACTACTGTGGAAAAGGATTATATGGGTACTGGCGTACAAAAACATTTGGATGATGTTTTGTCATCCAATAGCATCAAGCTTGAGGATGTTCATCACTTCAGAACAATGGCGATGAACTTCTACATAACGCTTGTAAATCAAATCGGGAAACGTATCAATATGGATGATATGATTCTCGTAAGCCATTGTCAGGTTTTTGAGGCAGGGCATTGACCCAAAAAATCTCAAAAATAAAACGTACCCCTCAATGTACCCAGTTTTGCGGATTTTCTCAAATGTTATCAAAGAATTAGAAATGCAAATGGTAGACGATGAATTCCGCGAGGTGAGAAACATGGATTTTCCAATGGATACAATTTTGAAGATGGTGTTGAATTTTGGGGAGTGGCACTGGCCACCAAACGGGTGAATGGCGAAATCGCTTTTCCTTATCTCAGACGAATTGTGCCAACCCTACTTCACGCAGAAAAAACTATCGTCGAAACAAAAATATTTGAGGTAAATTTAAACGTAAACTCAGTTTGTTCTGGCCACAAAAATAAATTAGGTTGATTTTAAACGTATTCCATGTTTGAAGTCATGTGAAATCAATGTTTAAAATAAAAATAATATTACGTTTATTTTAAAAATATTCGTGTTGAAAATAAACGTATTTGTTTTTGTTTGGTTTGACAGCTAGACGAACAAAAATAAATATGCTTATTTTAAACATGCTTCTCATGTTTTTATTTTAAACATACATATTTTTAAATTATTTTAGAAGTTGAGTGCAGGGTAAAGCAAAATAAAACTTATTGCAAATGAAAAACAAAAAGATCATGCCTGCTCTTTTTCGGGTGCGATTAAGGGTGACCTAATGGTATTGGGGTCCTGGTCCGGGATGCGGGTACCCGTCGGGGTTGGTGTTCGGGGATTTTAGTTCAGTGGAACCGGTGAAAAATTGTGACATTACCGTCGTTTTGTCGTTTCTTCCACTGGTCATCATACCGGTTTCTTTCTACGTTCGGATTTTCGTTGTTCTTTCGAAGTCACATGTGGATGAGGATGATATAGAGATCGGCATCATAAACGACGGAGTGAAGTTGATACTGTGGGGTTCCACCGGTTTTGTCGAGCTGGTTTCCGGATCCATCTTCGGTTATGCCACTTTCAGGTCGTTTTCTGTTGAGTTGAGCAAAGCTGGGGCAACTTTTTCCGAATGCAATAAGAAGGAAATAAAGATGCATGACACGCTAAAAACCGTTTACCCAAATCATATGTTGTTGAAATAAACATGCTTGTGAATTTTATTCAAACATAAATATTTTAGTTTTAAACATGCTTTCAATTTACTTTGAATAATTCATATGTTTAGGGTATAAACATTTATATTTTTGTTTTAAATGAACAAAATTTGTATCCGTGAATAACTTTGTTGTAGACAGCTCGGTAGACAGTAACTTTCTATCTGATTAGGATCTCGAGATATAGCATATGCGAGAAATGTACATCTATGCCACGTGGTGAGAAACTTCTTATTCTTTATCTCGTCAGGATCTAGTGATGTATCACATGCGAGAACTTAACATGTATACGAGCACTATCTAGTGAGAAGATTTTGAACTACTGTTAATCAGCAAAAAAGCTATGATCTCCACGGATACGAATTTTGTTCATTTGAAACAAAAATATAAATATTTATACTCTAAACATATGAATTATTCAAAGTAAATTGAAAGCATGTTTAAAACTAAAATATTTATGTTTGAATTAAATTCAAAAGCATGTTTATTTCAACAATATAGGATTTGGGTAAACGGTTTTTAGTGTGTCATGCCTTTTTATTTCCTTCTTGTTACATTCGGAAAAAGTTGCCCCAGCTTTGCTCAACCTCAACAGAAAACGGCCATCCATTCCGAATCCATTCCGGATCCTCCTCCGATACCGAACATGGAAAGAAACCGGTATGAGGATCAGTGGCAGAAACCGTGGCAGAAACGGCAAAACGACACCCCGGACACCCACCCCGACGGGTCTTCGCATCCCGGACCAGGACCCCAATATCCATAGGTCACCCTTAATCACACCCGAAAAAGAGCAGGAATAGAGATGCCCTGCCCGAAGATCTTTTTTTTTCATTTCTTTGCATACCGTTTTATTTTGCTTTACCCTGCACTCAACTACTAAAATAATTCCAAAATATGTATGTTTATTTTAAACATGAAAAGCATGTTTAAAATAAACATATTTATTATTGTTCGCATAGCTGTCAAACCAAACAAAAATAAATACGTTTATTTTCAACACGAATCTTTTTGTAACAAACGTAATATTATTTTTATTTTAAACATTGATTTCACATGACTTCAAACTTGGAATACGTTTGAAATCAACCTAAAGGCCCAAGCGCAATGACAGCGGAAGCGGAACGGCAGTGGCAGCGGAAAAGCCCTATCTGAGTAAGCCAACTTGTCGGATTGAAAACTAGTTAGAACCAGATCGACTTTGGTTAGGCATCTTGATGTCATTTGTGACAACTGTCAAACTTTCCGTTTCCGTATTGCGTTTGGGCCTTAATTTATGTTTGTGGCCAGAACAAACTGAGTTTACGTTTAAATTTACCTCAAATATTTTTGTTACGACGATAGTTTTTTCTGCGTGTCCTGAACAGCTTTGCCTAAGACAGTAACTTTCTATCTGGTCAGGATCTCGAGATATTTTATATGAGAATTTCACGTTTATACTAGCGCCGTGTAGGGAGAAAATTCTGAAATACTGTCCACCAGCTAAAACTACTTGACACCCTGAACAAGTTTGCCGAAGACAGTAACTTCTATCTGCTCAGGATCTAGAGCTATTGTATATGCGAAAATTGCATGTCCATACTAGCGCCACGTAGTGAGAATTTTCTGAACCACTCCACCAACGAAAAGATCGAGACTTCCTGAAAAACTTTGCCGAAGACAGTAACTTTTTATATGGTAAGGATCTAGAAATATTTTATATATGCGAGAATTTTACATGTATACTAGTGCCGCGAAGTGAGAAAACGCTGAACTACTGCCCACCAACGAAAAAGTCTTGACCTTCTGAACAACTTTGCCGAAGACAGTAATTTTCTATCTGGTCAGGATCTCGAGATTTTCCATGTTGGAACCAATTAAGTCAAATCCCACGTAGTACGGACACCGTTTACGCGGTTTCCATTCACATTTTCTCTATTATCCGCATTTTTGTGGGTTAACTGTGATAAAATTTTAGCTTGTCATCTGGAATCCCTGCATGACACTCACGTGACACTCGTCTTCGCATCAACCGACTATCGCTGACAGATCGTTTTGTCACGCAGTGAGAGTTAGAGCCATGGCAAACAACAATCACCAGTAATGGTCGCTGCTCACAAGCAAAACGTTACACTCACTGCTGATAATGAAAAGCACAACGAAAACAGTGAAGACTTCTGCAGTACGATCATGAGAAAAAGCGAAACGACAGGAGAAAATGAAAACAATGCCGACGAATGAAGTGAGGAAACTTTTGGAAATTATTATAACGTTTTCAGAGATGATCGTGACTTACTAGAAACCTAAAGAATGTCAGGTGGTGGAGTTCTTATTGCTATTTCTTCAAAATTTATTGCAGAACTTATTGTCTCATCGAAAGTAAAAGAATTTGAGCATGTGTGGGTAAAGACAAATATAGCTGGTGAAACTCATATTTTTGCCACAGTCTATTTTCCACCAGACTACGCTTGTAAGTCCTCGTATGAAACTTTTTTCCAAATAGCTGAAGAAATCGTATTTCAATTTCCCCCTGAATTCAAAATTCATATTTATGGAGATTTCAATCAACGCAATGCTTCAGATAATGAGAGTTTTCTTCTCCCAGTCATTGAGGAAAACGAAACATTACAATTTATTTTTTGAAAAAATGGCGTTTTTAGGATTAAACCAAATAAACCATGTAAGAAACCAACAGAATTGTTTCCTAGATTTCTGGTTAACGAATATACATGAAGATTTCTGTGTAAGTGAATCTATTTCTCCTTTATGGAAGAATGAAGCATTTAACACAGTAATCGAGTATTCCATATTTGTTCATGACAGTCAACACCCCAACGACAGTGAGTATGAAAATGTGTTCGACTACAAAAATGCTAATTATGATAATATTAAAAATAAATTCAATGGACTAAATTGGAAAACCATTTTGAAGGATCAGGTAAATGTTGAATGTGCAGTGGAGGTTTTTTATAAAATTTTGTTTGACGTAATTCACGAGGAAATTCCATTAAAAAGTAGACGACACAATTATTCCTCCAAATATCCGGTTTGGTTCAATAATCATATCATTAACTTGAAAAATCGTATACAAAAAGCTCACAAAATATACAGAAAACATACACGCAGAAAAAACTATCGTCGAAACAAAAATATTTGAGGTAAATTTAAACGTAAACTCAGTTTGTTCTGGCCACAAAAATAAATTAGGTTGATTTTAAACGTATTCCATGTTTGAAGTCATGTGAAATCAATGTTTAAAATAAAAATAATATTACGTTTATTTTAAAAATATTCGTGTTGAAAATAAACGTATTTGTTTTTGTTTGGTTTGACAGCTAGACGAACAAAAATAAATATGCTTATTTTAAACATGCTTCTCATGTTTTTATTTTAAACATACATATTTTTAAATTATTTTAGAAGTTGAGTGCAGGGTAAAGCAAAATAAAACTTATTGCAAATGAAAAACAAAAAGATCATGCCTGCTCTTTTTCGGGTGCGATTAAGGGTGACCTAATGGTATTGGGGTCCTGGTCCGGGATGCGGGTACCCGTCGGGGTTGGTGTTCGGGGATTTTAGTTCAGTGGAACCGGTGAAAAATTGTGACATTACCGTCGTTTTGTCGTTTCTTCCACTGGTCATCATACCGGTTTCTTTCTACGTTCGGATTTTCGTTGTTCTTTCGAAGTCACATGTGGATGAGGATGATATAGAGATCGGCATCATAAACGACGGAGTGAAGTTGATACTGTGGGGTTCCACCGGTTTTGTCGAGCTGGTTTCCGGATCCATCTTCGGTTATGCCACTTTCAGGTCGTTTTCTGTTGAGTTGAGCAAAGCTGGGGCAACTTTTTCCGAATGCAATAAGAAGGAAATAAAGATGCATGACACGCTAAAAACCGTTTACCCAAATCATATGTTGTTGAAATAAACATGCTTGTGAATTTTATTCAAACATAAATATTTTAGTTTTAAACATGCTTTCAATTTACTTTGAATAATTCATATGTTTAGGGTATAAACATTTATATTTTTGTTTTAAATGAACAAAATTTGTATCCGTGTAAATCGTGATAATCTCGAAAAGTATTTAAGTATTTGTGATCAACTAAATGATGCAATTTCTTTGGCACTGTCTGAGTATAACATAAAAACCACAAACGAAGTGACAGACAGAGCGGCTCGAAAACTTTGGTGACTAACCTGCTATTTCAATTTTTTCAGTGTACCACATGGCAACACCACTACTACTGGATTGTACCAACAATCAATACGAAACTAACGATTTTAAATTGGCTCACCACTTTAGTAGCCTATTGGTCCCAAGCAAACGATTAACGTACCCTATTCTAGTTGAAATTCTATTACTACACTATGTTTGTTTTGATTCGCTATGAAAGTTTGACAGATAACATCAGGGGTGTGTGGATTCATGCAGAACATGCAGGGGTGAGTGAAATAGCTTGGGACTGCTTGGGACCGTTGTTCTGGTACTGAGTGAGCCAAAAATAATAATGATTTTCTTCGGGACCCAGTGGTCTTAGAGTTACCAACCGGTGAACACACGTGTTTATTTCAGTTACCGTGGGGACGTAATTTGTGATTAGCCCCGGTCCCTTTAAAATTGTTTCATTATTTATGTACGGTTTTTACATCCGCAAGTCTTTGTATAAAGTGTTTTTAGTTGCTAGTTTAGAAATCGGTATAAATACCGATAAATCGGTATGTCTGGCAACGCTGTTGGGGATTCTGCAAAACCAATCGTCATTTAGCCGCCGCTGTCAGAAAGAAATTGCATCGGGCAGCACAAAAATCCTCCTCCGCTCGCCCGTCTCGTCTATCAATCGACAGCCGCCGCCAGTCGGCGCGTTTTCTACCCGCGCGCCGTCTGCAGCTGCTCTCTTTCCTTCATACACACTCGTCAGTCAGCACTGGTGGTATTCCTTCCTTTGCACGTTCCGTCAGTTTGTGGTTCTCTTTTGTAAATGCGAAATAATGGCTGCGGATCAGGCTCAGTTTCACCAGCTGCTAAATACCCTGCTCTCGACCGACAACGAAGTCCGAACGCAGGCCGAGGTACGTTTTTCCTGTGCCGGAAGGTGCTATCGACGTTTTCCGGTTGAAATCTGGCCGGGGGACGGTATACAAGTGGGCCAAAACGGCCATCAAAAGTGCTATTGGTGTTGCTTTTTTCTTCGGCCGTCAGTCCAAATCCCATTCATCGAACGACAACGTGTTTTTGCGGAAGAAGACGATTTTTTTTTCGGGCGATAATAAGAAAAAAATGTGCTAGGTTCGTTTTCTGTGCCGCTGTACCTCTCGCGCGATGGACGATTTGAGTTGGATGAATCATCCGAGGATATGGATGAGATGTGGTTTCGAGAAAATCAGTGGATAAAGGATGAAAGTTGCAAAAGCGATGAAAGAGTGAAAAATTATGAATCAGCGATAGCCCCATTCGAATTAGGCAGCGCGTGTGACCGTGAAAAAAAAGCAAAGGGGAAATTTATCGATACCTTTTGAGGGACAAACCAGCTCACCGTTAGTAGCAGTACTTTGGTTTGGGATGGCTGGGGTGGGTTTTTGTTTTGGAAGTCTGGAAAGATCCAATAGGCAGGCACCTGGGATGGGTGGTAGGAACGAAACACAACTGTGTGCTGGGAGTTGGAGGGCTTTGTCGTCTTAATTTTTATATACGTATTGACGAAAATGCTTGCTGGAGCAGGTTCTTTTAGCATAAATCCTATTAGCTAAATGGGTCTTAGTTTCAGTTAAAAATATATTTCATGTTGACTTTTATGTAAATATTTTTTTATTCTTTGAGCATTTATTGTTATTCTTATCGTGCAAAAATCAATACTCGTTGACTTGACACGGTCATGAAAATTTTCTTCCCATCTATTTCTAGATAGGTAATGTGTAGTATTAGTGCTCTAGCTTTGCATTGTATTTTTCTTGTATACCGAGTCCTGTGAATCTTAAAATGTATCAATTTTGTTAGGGATAATTTTTCATGAAGAATAATACGAAAGTATTGGAGCATCCCAGAAAATTTGGTTACCTAAAAGCAATTAAATGAGAACAAACAGATCTAGCGTTCAGAATCAAGCGCATAACTGAAGTGATCGATTCTCTTCATCGATTGTCTCTTTTGTTAATTAATTGCTGGATTTACATTTATCGGTGCGTTAGATGTTCCTTCTACTAGCTAACACAACCTTTTTATATACTATTGGACAAATTTCAGAAAATTGGTTCACTTAACTAGTAGTATGTAATGCAAAGAGAAAATCTATAAAGAAAATTGTCCATCGCAGTTAGACCCTTATGATTCTGATCGCTAGAAATTATGTATGAAGATTTCAACATTTTGGTGACGAATTCGGTAAAAATGAAAGCTATCGCGTGCAATGTTCTAATTTAGCGAAAATCAAAATTGTCCGGTTTTTTAATCCAAAATAAATCGCCGTATTTTTTTTTACTTGCGACACCTGTTGCGAATATCGACCATGCTGGCATTAACTGTTAATGACGATTTCGAAATTATTGAAAAGGCCCCATCAGCTTTTGTAAACAAACCCCCTTAGACGATTTTCTCGCTTACATAAAGCAATACCATTTTCTTTTGTTGATCTTGATTTGGGGCTTTTTTTTTAGATAAATTGATACAAGCTAAACAATGCATTAGGTCCTAAGTAACATTGAACGCTTCTCTTCATGGACATTCTCTTTCGGTAATAACTTGCTTACATAACTGTTTCTTGTCGTGTTTGTCGTCTTAGAAGTTAGATATAAGCTTCGTTCATTGATATGTGTGCTGGGAATGTCTTAACATGGCCGTTAGGATGCAACGTAAAGTCGACGAAGAGAATCTGTCAACGTTTCTTAGGACCTAATGCATTGTTCAGCTTGTATTCACCACCAGAGGCAACAAGTCCGAACATTTAGTGTTGCCTAACTCGAACCGTGCCAAAATCGAACGGTTTCATTTTGAAATATTTTTTTATGAATTCGCTGATTTTAAACCACCGTGAATCATCTTTATTATATAGTAGTTATTAATAATTATTCTTTTATTGATAATTGTTCTTGCAAGGAGCAATCAAATATTATTTTCAAATTCCGTTCGATTTTGGCACGGTTCCAAAAACAAACGGTTTTTTAGTTTTGTTGCCAAAATCAAACGGGTACGATATATTGAAAAATGTTCAAAGCTTTAGGTGAAAGTTCATGGAATCCATCCACTTCGCTTTTGCACTGGCACTGATCTCGCCATCCAGAAGTCATACAGATCCGACATTAAATGGGATGCTTGTTTCTCTGCAGCAGACATGTAGAATAATTTTGAACTGTGTCCATTAAGTAGATCGCCAGATGTGTGCCCGTGAAAATGTGATAAAATGGTAAATCGAATAGTATGGAAAATGGATTCCATAAATAGTGTCCTTAAGGTGTTTCCTTGTAGAGTTCTTTTTCTTATCAGCGATTTCAAGAGCACAAATTTCAAGATTTAGCGTTTTTTGCAGGCAGTCGATGATAATTTTGATCACCATTGCAACATTTGGACATTTGTGTAATTTTCAATAGTGTTCATCGATTGGCTTGTTTAGAATTATCATCCATCCACTATTGACAGAGTTATAAGTGGTCAAAACCTGACCACTTTTCGTAATGCGGTCGATTTTGGTTTTTTGAAATTGCACCCCCAATACGTTTCCAAAAGATGTGGGATTCAAAAATGGAGCATCAAGCAGACTCTGATACATTTTTCTCTTATAGTAGGGACCCTAAGCAATATGTAAAACATATAAAAGTGTTGGTTTGCACTAAACTTAGATGCTTTGTTACCTTGCGATGCTACCTCTAAATCACATTTTTCAGAGTTGGCTTCATACAAAAGTTTCTTTTGAAATACTCTTGGCTATCATTTAGAGGGTGAGCCCCAGGTTACCACAAAGTGTTATTTAGGGCCACCTTATTAAATACCCTTATTCTCGTTTTTCATTCGAACCATTTTTCCATTAAAAAAAAATGTATGAAAAAACGGTTCGATCAAAAACAAGAATATGGGTGAACGTCTAAAAGAGTGATCTCTAACAGACTACCTAAAAAAATGGAAAATCACGGAATCTTAGTTAAATCCATTTGAATCTCACGGAATTTTCATAAAATTCATGCAAATTTGGGGAAATAAATAACAAGGGATGTATACAAAATGAATGGATAAACATCTAGTTTAATAATAAATTAGGGGCTGTTCATTAACTACGTAGACAGTTTTTTGGGATTCTTAACACCGCCCACCCCACCCCCATCCCCTGCGTAGACAATTGTCCATACATTTTTTTTTAAATTTGTATGGGCCTGGGATAATTCCCAACCCCCCCTAACATGCCTACGTAGTTCATGGACAGCCCCTTATAAATCTATAAAAAATCTTTAAGTTTAAGGATGAAGCGTATAGGGCCGACTATTTATGCCCCTTAATTTTTTTTGTAATTTCCGGGTGGGGATTTGCATCAGCCTTATCACATAACGTTTCACGAGAAGATAATAGAACGGTGATCGTAGTCAGCGAATTGGCCGAAGAAATAAGCAAACCAAAAATAAATCTGTTCCACCTTTCTCATCTCGCTTTCTTCCCATCATCCATCCCGCAGGAGACCTATAACAGCCTGCCATGCGAGAGCAAGGTGACACATTTGCTGGGCGCGGTCCAGAGTCCGCAAATGACCGAGGAAGCCCGGATGATGGCAGCCGTCCTGTTGAGGCGATTGTTTTCCGCTGAATTCCAGGAATTCTATACCCCCCTTCCGCCGGAGTCGAAGGAACAGCTGAAGCAGCAGGTACTGCTTACGCTGCAGCAAAACGAGAGTCCCAGTTTGCGCCGTAAGATCTGCGAAGTGGTCGCCGAAGTCGCCCGTAATCTAATCGATGAGGACGGTAACAACCAGTGGCCGGAATTTCTGCAGTTCCTGTTCCAGTGTGCCAGCGCTCCCAACGTACAGCTGCAGGAGTCGGCACTGCGTATCTTCTCATCGGTACCGGGGATCTTTGGAAATCAACAGACTCAGCACCTGCAGTTGATCAAGCAGATGCTGATCAAGTACTTGGACCCATCATCAGACCCGGAGGTTCGCTTCCAAGCCGTTCGCGCCGTTGGAGCGTTTATCCTGCTGCACGACAAAGAAGATGATGTACAACGGCAGTTCAACGACCTGTTGCCACGCGTAATCATGATAACAGCTGAGAGTATCGATCAGCAGGACGACCAAACACTGATCAAGCTGTTGATCGATTTGGCTGAGAGTGTACCGAAATTCCTGCGTCCGCAGTTGGAGTCCATTTTTGACATGTGCATGAAAGTGTTCAGCAGTCCGGACGTCGAGGACAGTTGGCGCCATTTGGCTCTCGAAGTCATGGTTTCCCTGTCGGAGAATGCTCCGGCTATGGTTCGCAAGCGTGCTGAAAAGTACGTCGCCTCGCTGATTCCTCTTGTCCTGCAAATGATGACCGATCTCGAGGACGACGAGGAATGGTCCGTGTCGGATGAGATCTGCGAAGACGATACAAGCGATAACAACGTCATTGCCGAGTCGGCATTGGATCGTCTTGCTTGCGGTCTTGGAGGAAAGGCTGTCCTCCCGCACATCGTGAACAACATTCCAGACATGTTGAACAGCCTGGCCTGGAAGCAACGGCATGCCGCTTTGATGGCGATTTCCGCCGCCGGCGAAGGATGCCATAAGCAAATGGAAGCCATGCTTGAAAACATCATGCAAGGTGTGCTGAAGTTCCTGATGGATCCCCATCCGAGGGTGCGCTATGCTGCCTGTAATGCTATCGGACAGATGGCAACGGATTTTGCGCCGATCTTCGAGAAGAAGTTCCACGAACAGGTCATTCCTGGGCTGCTGAGCTTGTTGGATGATGTCCAGAATCCACGCGTGCAGGCTCATGCCGGAGCTGCTTTGGTTAACTTCAGCGAGGACTGTCCGAAGAATATTCTCACTCGATACTTGGATGGTAAGTTGTCACGATGTCACTTTTGTAGGACTTCGGGGTAAGAGGGGCATAATGAGCATTCCGCACTTCAGTCGTAAACCTCTAATTGTTCGAAACAAATTAATTGGTAGTAGGTTCAATATCACCATTGTAATGGCTAAAGGCCATTATTGTTCAAGGCTAAAGCATAGGAAGCTCATTATGTCCCTTCTTCCCTTTTCTCTAAACTTTACTTCAATTTCAGGCATCATGTCTAAGCTGGAACACATCCTGACCACCAAGTTCAACGAGTTGGTCGAAAAGGGTACCAAGCTAGTGCTGGAGCAGGTAGTGACTACTATTGCCTCGGTTGCCGACACAACCGAGAAGGACTTTGTCGGTTATTACGATCGATTGATGCCTTGCCTGAAGTACATCATCCAGAATGGTAACACCGAGGAGCTCCGTTTGCTTCGTGGCAAGACCATCGAATGTGTTTCGTTGATTGGATTGGCCGTCGGAGCAGAGAAGTTCTTGTCCGACGCGTCGGATGTGATGGACATGCTGCTGAAAACTCACACCGAAGGCGACCTGCCGGACGATGATCCTCAGACGTCATATCTTATTTCGGCCTGGGCGCGTATCTGCAAGATCCTTGGCAAACAGTTCGAACAATACTTGCCTTTGGTGATGGGGCCGGTCATGAGAACTGCATCGATGAAGCCGGAAGTTGCTGTGCTGGATAATGATGAAGTTCAGGATGTGGAAAGCGACAACGATTGGCAGTTTGTCAATTTGGGTGAACAGCAAAACTTTGGAATTCGTACGGCTGGCTTGGAGGATAAGGCGTCGGCATGTGAAATGTTAGTCTGCTATGCACGTGAGCTGAAGGATGGTTTTGCCAACTACGCCGAAGAAGTCGTTCGCCTGATGGTACCGATGTTGAAGTTCTACTTCCACGATGGTGTCCGCACGGCTGCTGCCGAGTCGCTGCCCTACCTGTTGGATTGCGCTAAGATCAAGGGACCTACCTATCTGGAAGGAATGTGGCTCTACATCTGCCCGGAATTGTTGAAAGCAATCGATTCCGAGCCAGAACCAGACGTGCAAGCTGAACTACTGCACTCGTTGGCCAAATGTATCGAAACGCTAGGTGCTGCCTGTCTTTCCAAGGAAACCATGGATGAAGTGCTCAAGATCATCGACAAATTTATGAACCTACATTTCCAAAAAGAGGAGAAACGTGCTCTTGCCCGCAAGGAGGAAGATTACGACGAGGGAGTCGAGGAACAGTTGGCCGAGGAGGATGATGCCGACATTTATCTGCTGTCACGAATTTCCGACATTGTTCACTCGCTGTTCCTGAGCTACAAGGATGGGTTCTTGCCGTATTTCCAGCAAGTCGTGTCACACTTTGTCAAGCTGCTAGATCCATCAAGAACATGGGCTGACCGACAGTGGGGATTGTGCATATTCGACGATCTAATCGGTAAGTCACACTTCAAACGGTCTCTGCTTTATTCTAAAATAACGTTCATGACATTCTATGATGACGTATTCTATGTATGACCGATTCAGGATGATTACGAAATTCTCTGAATATCTAGCTTAACCTTTTCTGATACCACACTGCAAGCAGCGTGCTAAACCCACGACAAAAAGAAGAAACGTCAAAAACTTTCCAAACGAAACGAATTTCTAATGCTTTTTTCTGCTTTTCTTCCATCATCTCCCCATGGTCGGCACGATTCGATGATGATTCATATATAACCGGTACCGGGAAATTACAACTGACGGTATGTGTGCATCCGTGCCTGGAAACGTTGCGCGCACATGTGGGCCGATAATATGATGCACTTTGTTTGCACACACAGGTGAGTTTCGGCTTCTGTCGTTTTTGGTTGCAGATTAGCGCAGTTTTCGCGTGCTACCTATTCTTGTTATCATTGCCGTTGCCACGGCGGGAATAATGGGTCGATTTTTGCACTTACCTACTACGTTTCCACTTATTTCGCAGTCCTATATTCTTTGGTGGTGCTGTTTTGGTATTCGGGCTGTTGTACGAGTGTGATAGATGTTAATTGCCAGTTCATGGCTAGCGGTCGTGGTTGAATGGCGCTCGCCTCTAGGCGCGCGTTTTAGGTTCCAGCCTATATACAACTAAGCATTTCTGGCTTGTAGCGAAAACTTGGAAAGTGGTTTCCCGATGTGGGTTCCGTTCATTTTTGAACTATTAATAACTTTTCAATGCCGTTGTTGTTACGTTCGGTGTGGGAAGTGAACCATTCCTAGTTGAAAGTAGCAATTCAGTTGGACATGAAAAGAAACTTTCCAACAGGCAGGTTTAGTTATTCTGCTGATTTAGAGATTGTGTGAGTGTGCGGGTGATTCAATCACGTTTTATGTCCATTTGAAAATTCGCTAGCAAAGTAAACATAATTTGTAGCGTGTTTTGGTCTTAATTCTTTATATAGCATTGTCTGTTGTATTGTCTTATGATTTGATTTGAGTATTTGAAACCTCCAAAACTTCTCAGAACTTCCACGACCTTATAAGTTTCGTGAACACCCATTAAGATGTATGTACTTGTTCTGAGCACGTTTGGCATTTTTGAAGCACTCAGTATCTCTTCGAAGTTCTCTGAACCTCTCCAAAGTCATATGTTCGCAGATCCTCTCACCCATATTCTTGTTTTCGTTCGAACCGTATTTTCCATACAAAAAACTTTTTTTTGGTATGGAAAATACGGTTCGAACGAAAACAAGAATACGGGTGATAAGCACTTTAAGAATCTTCGAAGTTCGCTGTAGACCTGTGCGCCGGCCCTTTGATTTTCGGCGAAGGCGTGGAAACAATTTATACCTCGGCGGCAGCGGCGTGACGCCGTTGACTTTGATCGGCGTCGGCGTGCATCGGATTATTGCTATGGTGGCTGTCAAAATTTCACATTAATTTTAAACTACAATTCAAACTAGAATATTGTATAACTGTACACTGGAGTCGCTTTTTACGCGGTTTTTTTTTACACGGTTTTTTTTTACGCGGTTTTTTTTTACGCGGATTTCGGAATTTACGCGGTTTTTTTTTACGCGGATTCCGGAATTTACGCGGTTTTTTTTTACGCGGATTTTGGTTTTTTTTTACGCGGATTTCAGAATTTACGCGGTATATCGCTTTTTACGCGGTTTTTTCTTACACGGTCTTTTTTTACTCGGTTTTTTTTTACGCGGATTTCGGAATTTACGCGGTTTTTTTTTACGCGGATTCCGGAATTTACGCGGTTTTTTTTTACGCGGTTTTTTTTTACGCGGGACGTATCACCCGCGTAAAAAGCGACTCCAGTGTATATGTTACTTGGTACAGATAACACAATTTTTAAATTGTTGCCGTAAACATTGTTGCAACGTTTCGGAACACTATCGGAACAGGTGGTTTTTAAAGTAGTTATAATCCGGGTGATGCGATATGGCTTCTTTTCAATGTTGGCAGTTTTATTCTTCACCTAATCAAAGGTGCCACACAACAAGAAAGAAATGTTAGTTTGTTTACTACAATGAACTGACGATTGTATATGGCAAGTTTTGCTATAATCAATCCTCGTGTTTATTCGCGAAATTCACATCAAAGATTGATCGTTCGAGTAGGAAATCAATTTTGCAAGGCATTTGTGACCAGCATACACTTTCTGGTCGCATGAAACAGGTCTAAATCTATCGCCCGTATTTTTTTTACACTGTTCATGGCAAAATAGTCAACTTTTCATGAGCATTAACGGCAAATAACTCACCAACACTAGCGGACCGCGAGAACTTGACCACCTATACTTCTATCCATCTAGATTCTTCACCATCAGCTAACAGCAAGCGCTGCCAAACAGTATCGTGTGTAAAGCTCAATCGTGACGCTTTGATTGTTTGTTCACGTTCCTAAATTCTAGAATGATTAGAGAGAAGCAAAATTTACAAATTTTTTCACACCGGGAGAGTAAAACATTGGTTCAATTTGACAGCTCGAAATTGGTTTGATTTTGGGGTCCGTCTTCGCATCACCAGGTTATAATTATCCTGAATTAAATTACTTAATCAGTTATAACACGGTGTCATCAAACCGAAGACGGTGGGTTCAAGTAATTGAAAGCCAAATTCAATTTGTGGATTTACTACAACATCCTTTAGGGAGTCTGACCACTTCTCGCATAAATCTCAACCATACTCTGACCACATGGAAAAATGTTTATCTTCCTTTGAAAACCATAATGAGAAGTTTAGATAAAGTTTTGACCATTTTGAGAAAGGTTTTCGAGACCTGACCATACAAACAATGGGTGGTTTTAGGAACGTTTACCGTACGGATTCTATTTTTTCCCATACATTTTTTTGTAAAGGGACTATAACTTAACCACATCAGAAAAGGTTCTAGTTGTATGTGAAGCCTATTTCTAATAAGGTAGTATAACGAACCATTGTTGATAGCATCCATATATACTATAACCGGGTAGAAATGAACATACTTATTGAGATTATGATACATTCTGGTTACTGATATGCACCGAATGAGCCGTAATAAAAAGCATACCAGAAACTGTAACACTAGAAAATAATGTTTCCTTAATATGTATTACATTCCATGAACCATAACTGAACTATTTTGTATAAAATTAACATAGCTGATATGACTTCCATTAATCTTCTGTTTGCATTATCATGTGATATATTATGCCACAACAACTCTTTGGATACCTACTAACCCGATCATGTTCTGTTCGTATCTCCAGAATCAGTGGATCGATTCAAACAACTTGGTAAAAATACCATTTATTTGGTCCTTTTTGTATAATTCTGTGCAGTAGCTGGTTAGAAACACGTTTTCTAAAATTTAAAAGCACAAAAACATATTTACCTACATTGCCCGCGTATCAAAAATCATTTCTCTAAAATGTTTGCAGCGACGACGTGTGAAAAAAGTGCCGGTTGCGGCGCCGTGGCGTGGCGGCGCACAGGTCTAGTTCGCTGAACCTATCCGTATAGTTTGTCGAATCTCTCAGATAGCTCTGTAGATCCTCTTAGTTTAGCAATCTCCAGAGAAGTTTTGCAAAATTTAGAAAGACACCAGAACTTAAAAAAAATCAGTGTGTTTCAGTGAAATTCAGCCCAATTCAGAGAAGCACTGAGAAATATATTGTATTTTAGAAAACATAAATAGAACTCAGTGATCACCTCAGATATGTTTGAAAGAATTTAAGAGATCTTTTGGAACTCCAAAAAGATTTTTCGGAACGTTGAAGGCAATCTTAGGGAAGGATATGTTTAGACAAGATCGAATGAACTATCACACTTAATCTAGCTCGGTAAAATCTCCAACAGCCGATTACCTCGGCATTTACTTTTGATGATATCTCTGCAAAATATCTGTTTGTTAGCTGATATCTCAGCAAAACGTTATTTGTTCGCTGAGTCTCGGAAATTGTTTTACTGAATCTCAGCAAAATAAATTGCAAAACTACTCGGCTGTTGGAATCTCGGCGAAAAAATTTAAGTGTGAGAAAGAAACTTAAAAAATATTAAGGGTATCTTGACCATGCTTAGACTCCTTTATTAAGATTATGGAACCTTAGAAAAGTTCACGGTACTTTAGAGCTCTTTAACTAATTATGTTTGTATTACTCCATGCTTGAAGTTAACGATTTACATAGTTAGAGATGCCTATTGACAAATATTAGACTTAAAGTGTTCATTTTATACGATACATGAGGAGATGAAAGTAAGTTGATAATTCCGTTAGAGTACGGCAGTGTGAAAATTGTATATAGGTCAATTTTGAGGAAGGCACGAATCGGGTTAATCATCTGCTTTACCAAACTCCCCTGTTGGAGAGGGATGGTTAGAGGGGGGGGGGGGGGTAATTCCCCCCGCCACCACTGGCAAAAGAGATGACCGCCGATTGAGCAACGTACCTTAGATGTGCGGAAATAGTTCTATCGATTGTTTCATACTCATGTCGTTATGTGACGTCAGCAATCTAGTCGATAGGTTTGGAAATAGTACTTCTGGTGTTAAATCATATACTCACACGTATTGAACGTTGTCCCCGCAAGCGACATTGGTACCTCCACTGCCTTTGCATTAGCATAATGGAAACTCAATTGCTCCGGGTTAGGCATTAGGGCACAATGCATGGAACCAAGTCCGATTTAAACTTCACCCCGTTTTACGGTACCCTTCGTTGCAGGAAAGGTGCGTAAATGGTTTATATTTTTTCACTTTTGTAGACTTCAACGTCACTAAAATCACTTGTAAATACACCACTACAAGTTCTGTAATATTTGGTGCTTGAAAGGTGTTCAAGCGTTCGCGTGGATTTTATTTCAAATTTCTAGTAACAACCCTGCAAATCCTTTGGAGTTTGGTAGAACCCTCGGCACACTCAATCTATTTCGGTAAAATCTCCAACAGCATATTAGCTCGGCATTTACTTTTACTTTTGTATCCATTTGTTAGCTGAGGTCTCAGCAAATTTGATTGTTAGCTGAGTTTCGGCAATTTTTACTGAGTCTCAACGAAATATAATGCAGAACTAAATAATCGGCTGTTGAGATCTCGGCAATCAAAATTAAGTGTGAGGAGTTTGCTTTGATGTCCTCTTGTGTTTAATTCTTGTTATCATGGTTCTCTGGAATCGTCTTAAGTCCGTTTTCTACACAGCCCCTTGAATCTTAAACCAGGTTTACCCATATAGTTAATCATGGTTTAAGGCTTAAGCGCAGGTGAAGACATCGGCCCTTAAAAGTTTTTCTTGGGTTTGTTCTGTAAGTTGTCTCGGGGAAAATCCTGGGTTGGCCCTGAAACGAGTCTTGAAAATTTTGTAGAATTGTCCTGCATATTCTCTGGATTTACCTTCGCTCTGGACTTGTCCTGGAGTTTCATGAATTCGAGGACTTCCAAACTTGATTTCATAGGTTCCAGAAAAAATATCGAGAACCTGGAATTGCATTTTTTGCTCGTTGTTCTAAAGCTATATAAGGATTTTGGGTAAATTTACAACTAAGATGGGTCAATTTACAACAAATATAAAGCAGCTTTTAGCGAACATGCGTCAACGTTCTGTCTCTTCTCTTCCCACAGAATACAGCGGTCCAATGTGCGCCCAGTACCAGGCTTACTTCATGCAACCGATGCTGGAATACATCAAGGATCCACAACCCGAAGTACGACAAGCGGCAGTCTATGGATGTGGCGTTTTGGCACACGTAAGTAGCACCACTAATACCAATGTTCTCCATTCAATTGATTTATTTCTAACCCCTTCTCCCCTAACAACACAGTATGGTGGCGATCAGTTCTCGATAACCTGTGCGCAGGCCATTCAGCTGTTGATGGAGATCATCATGACGCCCGGTAGTCGCGAACCGGAAAACGTGAACCCAACGGAGAATGCTATCTCCGCCGTGACCAAGATACTAAAATACAACAATAAGGCCATCACCAATCCGGACGAGATCATTGCACTTTGGTATGTTAGATTTGTTTAAAAGACAAAATGTGAATATGTAACTGTTGTTGGCTTCAAATGATGAGAACACTCAAAAACAGTCTTACACGAAGCATTCGCTTCATGTTGGGGAATAAAGTTTTGGCTTAACCTTTTCTGACGGTTGTCACTTGAGAAGTATCTATGAGTGGTGAATATCAAGCGATAGATCCTTAACCACAGTTTTCGTTTGTTTATTGTCCTAGGTTCTCCTGGCTGCCAGTGGTGGAAGACGACGACGAAGCCATCCACGTCTATGGCTACCTGTGTGATCTGATCCAAGCGAATCACCCGGCAGTGCTGGGCGAGAACAATTCGAATCTGCCACGCATCGTGTCCATTTTCGCCGAAGCATTCTACCGTGAAGCAATGTCCGTTGGCCATCCCGAATCGACGCGGATGCTGGCCATCGTGAAACAGATCGAAGCCAGTCCGGACATTTTCCAAGCATGCATAAACCAGCTGACGGCGGAACAGAAGGCGGCTCTCGAGGAAGCATACCGAACTGCGGCCGTTGCACAGTAAGGAAGCGGACGACAGTGACGTATGTTTAGTGAAAAGTAAAAAACGAGAGCGAGAATGAGACACGGAGCGAAAGAGAGTGAGATCTAATAGGACCATACGAGGTTGATGATTTTGGACAGCAAGGGACGTGAAACTGTGTTTCTTTTTGATTTCTGTCGCCGACTTTCACTGAAAAGAGAGAAAAAAACATTCACAAAAAATAACCGCAAGAATCTGGCAAAAGGCCACTGCAAATCAACAACACATGATACGAAATTACACAACACATCCTAGTAACACCCTTCTATGTATCACTAGAAGCTTGAGTTAAGAGAATATTATATTTTAAAATATATAGCTGTTTCTCTGCAGTCGATACTAGTGTATTAACAAGATTTATATTTTGCAATTATTTAATCACACTTGTAATCCTTTTTCTGTTACACTCGATCATATATTTACCCTTTTTAGGACGATTCTATCGCTGCTTTAACCATTCGAGTGGAAAATATTTAGTTGGGTTTTCTTGTGAGGTTCCATTTCTGCCTTTTTACAAACCCTTGTAGGTTTTATTTTTTTTATTTCTTCATATTAGACACCTTCCTTTTTTGTGATCTTCAAAACATACATAAAACAGGTAAATAATTACGCCATTCCTGTGACGAAAATGCAATTGATTATATTTGAATGAAACTGCATTGGAAAAGTACGATTTTCCCTAGTTCAGTTTTTCTCAGTTGTGCGAATGGATATTGTATATAATGAAAGTATTTTCCACATGAAGCCGCAAAACAGGTCAACAAAAAGTGTTTTACTTTAGCTAAGATATTGCAATCGGCGCTCATTTTCTGTTGGTAGCTGTTATTTCCCAAGGAAAAAATGTTACTAAATCACCTCTGCGCGTATTTTTTTTATGTAAACGTCTTCGTCAGCGTTCAACATGTTCAGTTTATAATTTACATTATTGTTTACTACTTATTATAAAACTGTTTGAGCAGAGCAAAGAAGATAGAAAACTGATTTGCAATCAACTGGAAGAAAAATATGCCAAAACCGAATTGAGCTTTGAGTTTACCTACACACATTCGCCCACATGCTCTGACCTTGTTCATCCTCCTGCTGGCCTTGGTGTGAATCAGTGAACGACTTCAGCATAAGTAACTTTCAAATTTAAGCACATTTTCCATTTTCGAAATGGTAAAAACCTAATATGAGAATAAAATGATATTCTATTACTGAAAAGAACTCTCGACATGATTTGGTAGAACAAAAAAGAAACACATGCATTTTAGGTGATAGTATGACATTTTTCCGAAAGCCGATCCACAGAAATCTTCAGATAAATATTTGTATAACAATTTTATATTGATTTTTGCATAATATTTTGGTTTTGTAGGCACATACAACTTTCAAAATTATGCAGAATGTAGTAGCTTTATACTGCCCATAAAAGCATAATTGTCCCATCTTTGCTTGATTTCCTATGGGACGGTTATGCTTTTATGGGCAGTATAGCTTTGCAGTAGTAGCGATAGGTTTGTCCTTTATTTTTCCACAAAGTTGATTTAGGAACACTCATTAAGATGATGACCGCCACGTGGCTATACATGCACTTCCACTTCTAATTTTCAATTACGCAAATCTCGGAAATTAATGCCCCATTCACCTTGAAATTGCTATTTCATGTATGCTGCAGTACAGCAAACGTGAAGTATCTGTTCCAATGTGGTACGTTTCGGGGAAGCTGATATTTGTGCACTTAACGTTTCGAAGTGGTTACGAGAATAAGAATCTCCCAGCGAAACACCTTAATGTTATAATGCGAAACAGCAGCAGACATAACGTTTCGTTATTCTTAACTCAATTCATTGATAGTGTTGCCACAACACGGCCTCATGTTTCGGGAGTTAATCTTGAAGAAGGTTGATCAATTTGGTGTCCTCTTCCATTTATTAAAAATACATATATTTTTGTGTGAGCAACTGTTAGCGTATGACCTAGGTATTCTAGCAGATTTGCCCTTCTTTGGAACATGAACAGTTCTTTTGAGTTAGGGGAAATGGCTCTAATGTTGGCCTATGGATCTAAGATTGGGCTCATCGCTAAAAATCTGCTATTTATCAATTTTATCTAGATGAATGCGTCATTGGGACGGTACTAATCGATATTTTTTGTCGCTATTGAAAATTTGGTCGATTGCTGAATTTATGTATGGGCCCAAATTAGGGGCATTTACGCCGACATTACATCCATTTGCCCTATATGATAGCAATTATTTTGCATATTAACTATGCATAAATCGAGGCATAAACATAGTATTGACACAAACGAAGTGACAGACCGAGCAGCTCGAAAAGTTTGGTGCTATTGCAATTTTTCAATGTACCACCACTACTTTTCAATTGAAAGCTGGGTTTCGACTAGACAAATCAAATGATCAACTCAGTTGAATTCAATTGGCTTGAAAAGTTTAGCCTGGTTCAACTTTTTTCAATTCAAGTGAGATGATCAAGTCAGTTGAATGGCATGGTTTACACGATCAATTCGCGTTCAAGTCAGTTGAATTCAACTGACTTGATCAATTGACTTGCCCTGTCTGAACCCAGCTTAATAGCATTTTCTTCAAATTTACTAGAATTATTTGGTTCTATCTCTTTCACTCTAGTCAAAACTGAAATTCATAAAAAATTGACAAAATGATTTAATTTTCGTACACTATCGCGACCATTGCCATTAAAGTTCTCAAACCACACTTAAAAAGCTTCAATATAGTTTCCTTTTTTTTAATGATAATGATGATGGTCCCACCTCTTACCCCTACAAAGGTTTGAGCTGGACGATTTATCTTTAAGATAATTAAATATAAACATTTTAACCAGGTTAGCAAACAAAAACGAGCTGGTTACAGTTACAGATATAAATTCCCTCTAGACTTTACAGTTGCTTCACAGCAATATACATAAATGTGAAAAAGCTTAGGCGTCCACCTCTTAGTTCGCCTTTTTGTCCACCTAGAATATTCATAAGTATTACAAGCAATCAAGAGTTAATGAACAATCAACAAAGCATCCTATACACTAGCAACCCCGCAATGATGCTATTATAATTTTCAGCAATGTCAGGAATGCTCACGAACCCCCGACATTCAGCCAGAAAACTTAATACTAACTCAAAGTATCTTCCAAATAAGCTTCAAAGTTGCATTTTTTTTTATCAAATGTTAAATTCAGTCCTCTATATCCGTAATACGCGCGCGAGGCTCAAACCTTTGTAGACTACTACTTTTTTTTTTTTTAACTGCTACTTTAATTCAAATATAAAAAAAAATCCATCATCACCATCGTGGCGAACAAAATAGTTTTTGCAGTGCTACAATAATTATTAAAAAGTCGTTATGACAGCTATCCATACAAAATAATCCGTTATAAATAACTTCGTCAAGATACATACTTCGTCCATTCATAAAAAAAAAAATAAAAATCACTGGATAACTGCTCAAAAGACAGTTTTAACGTGTGAAATACAATGTCTCTTGAATTCTGCTAATGTTGTTGCACGTTTAATATGTCTAGGCATCGAATTGAAAACATTTACTCCTTTAAAATACAATGAATTCTGTGAAGCGCAAGTCAAGAAATGTGGTGTTCTTATTTCATCCGCGTTTCTAGTATTATATCTATGAAAATCACTTCCTCTTTCAATTCGATCACACAAATATCGAGGCAGCAAACCATTTACTACTTTAAAAATGAACACCATAGTCAAATAAACTATTCTTTGCTTCACTGACAGCCATTTTAAAGCGTCCAGCATCAAAGTTGAGGAAGTGAATCTATTACATCGCAAAATCAAACGCATTATTTTATTCTGCAAACGCTGTAATCTCGATATTTGTGTTTCATTGGCTAGAAATAAAATGGATGGGCAAAAGTCTAGATGAGGAGAGATGATTGATTTGTATAGCTGTATTTTACTGGCAATAGTTAAATCGTTTTTCAGTCGACATAGAATTCCATACTTCTTGGCAATTTTCTTGATGACATTGTCAATGTGAGAGTTGAACTTAAGTTTGTCATCAATAATCACGCCAAGATATTTAATCTCCCGAACGCGATCAATAGCCTCATCATCAATTACCACGGAGACATTATCATTTACTCGGTTCCGCGAAATTACCATGAATTTAGTTTTACTTGTATTTAATTTCAACTGCTTACACTTCAACCATCTACTTAGAGAACGCAAATCTTCATTCAAATGTGAGACGGCAACTTCTAAATCCTTAGCTGCAATGAATAACACAGTATCATCTGCAAAAAGATTAATGTCGCAAAATCGTAAAACGCGTCGCAAATCATTAATATACATAATAAATAAAAGAGGCCCTAATACACTTCCCTGGGGCACTCCAAGGTTATTCCCCACGGGACTGGAAACAGAATCATTAAAAACAGTCCGTTGAGTTCTGTCAGATAAATAGCTTTCAAACCATTTATAAGCAGTACTCGTAATTCCAAAGCGCTTGATTGTACTTAACAGTAAGGGCCTAGAAATTGTTTCAAAAGCGCGTTTCAGATCCAAAAAAACAGCAACAGTCGTATCTTTACGCTCCAAGTTGTCTTTCCACTTTGCTAACACCAAATTCAACGCAGTTTCACAGGAATGACCTTCCCGATATCCTGATTGTTCTGGTATCAACAAAGAGTTGCTATTCAAATACTCCAACAGCTGGCCTTTAACAACAAGTTCTAAAATTTTCTCTAATGTGTGCAACATGTTGATGGGACGAAACTCTTCGGCTTTAATCGTTCCAGCAACTTTTTGAATAGGAACCACTAAGGATTCCTTCCAAATTTGTGGCACATGTCCAGTCTGCAAAGATTCATTAATAAGGTCCAGCAAGATGTGGCCAATGACATGAAAGCAATCTTGAATAACTCTAGAATTAACATTATCTACTCCAGCCGATTTTCCTAATGAAAAGCAAATAACTCTAAGTTCATCTAAAGTAATTTGGTGAAAACCTTCAAATCTACAACTACTATTAACTGGCTGTTTTATTTCGTCAGGTTCATCGACCAATTCAATGGATTGATTAATCAATGAAACACTTTCGACAAAATAATCATTAAACATAGATGCAATTACTGGTTCTGACTGTTCTAATGTGCCATTAAAAGTTATGGACCGCGGTTTGCAATTACTAGGTTTTAATAAAGATTTCAAAATTTTCCATAACTCTTTGCTGTTGTTTTGATGCTGATCAATCTTCCTCTGGACATATTCACAACGAGTTTGTTTTATCGATTGTGAATATTTATTACGCGCGATTGTGTACCTATTCCAATGATTATCATTATTTGATCTGCAAAACTTTTTGTACCATTTGTCCCTCTTACGTTTAAGACGCAAAAGTTCCAAATTGTACCAGCTGTTCGAGTTTTTCAAAGAAACAAACTTTTGCTCAACTAATTGATTGGTACACGTTTTCAAAGTGTTAGTTAGAACAGCTGCAGATTCATCTAAATTACCGGCCGCGAATGGAAAATCCACGCTTCTCTCAACAAGATTTGAAACAGCCTGTTTCGAATATTTCCTCCAGCACTTCAATTTGACTAAGTCATCGTTATTATTGATATTATCTAATACATTAATCACTAAGGTCTCATGATCGGTTATTTTCAAATCAGCATCCGGAACTGAACAAATGGAATCAAAATTGGAATAAACGTGGTCAATTAAAGTTCTACTGTGCCTGGAAATACGCGTATACTCATCTACCGTTTGTTTTAAATTGAAAAAATCAGCTAAACGCTTCAAATGATTCGAATTATGGTTGTCACGCCAATTAATATTAAAATCACCAGCTAATATATTTAATTTACTTGAATCAAGGAATGTCTCTAGCCAGTTCTCTAAAACATCAACAAAACGCTGGTCACTAGAACTGGGAGAATGATACAAAACACCATAATTACCCATCTTCATGCCACGCACAACTGTAATGCCCAAGAACCAGTTACCATCGATAACTTCGTTGATTCGAAGGTCGAATTGAATTGATTCTTTGACATAAATAGCAACACCGCCAGTGTGTCTAGAATGTGATAAACAAGCAGCAACAATATATCCCGGAATACTATACTGGTCAAAAGCTTCAGTTTCTACAATATGAGTTTCAGCTAATAAAACTAAAAGTGGACGTTTTTCCTCAACAATCTGACGTAATGCTACGTAGTTTGTTG